AGCACTGATTCTAGCAAGCAGCACTGTGTTTGTGTAATGATATAATAAGCGTTGCCAGTGATACTGCACACGGCACTTAGAAAGCTAATTGACATTTGCAAAGTAAAATATAAACCCTGAAGAATGATACAGAGAAACATGTTTCCATAATACTATTTATATTTGTCTTTAGAAAATCTACACTTGAATTTTGACAGTGATCCAAAACTAGTATCTATTTCTTATTATTCTATAATAAGGGTAACGGATTGTCCATCTACCTTTCTTTTCTTTTCTTTTCTTTTTTTTTCCAGACAGAGTGTTATACTATGTCGCCCTTGGTAGAATGCTGTGGCATCCCAGCTCACAGCAACCTCAAACTCTTGGGCTTAAGCGATTCTCTTGCCTCAGCCTTTCAAGTAGCTGGGACTACAGACACCTGCCACAATGTCTGGATATTTTTTTGTTGTTATTATTGTTGTCATTGTTGTTCGAACCCACCAGCCCCGTCCATGTGGCTGGCACCCTAAAACTAAGCAATGGGCACTGAGCCCCATCTACCTTTCTGACGTGGCCATCTTTGAGGTTAGAAAAAACATCCCCTATTTAAACAGGCTGAAAGGAAAGGAAAGTCCCCCAGGGGCCTATCCAGTTCAAGTGCTGTGTGATAGAGCAGGTTTCCCTCTTGACAAGGCAGAGAACACACCTCTAGAGCTTCTGCTTTCCGAATATATATTTATGTAACTCACTTTCTTTGCTTTTTATTTTATTTATTATCAACTAACAAATGGTAATTGTATATTTGTTGGGTACAATGTGATGCTTCTATTTATGGACATTATAGAAAGATTTATTTAAGCTAATTAACATATCCATCACTTCAACAGGTTATCTTTTTTTGTGGTGAAAACATACAAAATCTATTCTTTTAGCCAGTTTATAAATATTTCATATGTTACTATTAGCTATGTCACCAAGCAATCCAATCTCCAGTATAAGATTTTATCAGTATAAGACTTTTTTATATTATTATGGATACATAATAGTTGTATATCTTTATAGTGTGCATGTGATGATTTGATCCAGGCATACAATGTGAATTAATCTAATCAGGGTAATTTGGATATCCATCACCTCAAGCATTTAAAATGGTCTTTTGATCAGCCTCTTCCCTTAGTCCCCCTACCTTCTAGAAAGGTAACCACCTTTCTAGTCTCCATTTCAATGAAATTGACATTTTTAGATTCCACTCATAAGTGATATCAATCATATGGTATTTATATCTCTCTTCCTGACTTATTTAATTTAGCATAATGCCTTCCAATTCCAGCCATTTTGTCATGAATGGAAAAATTTCCTCCTTTTTAAGGGTGTAGAGTATTCTAGAGCCTATAAGTACCACATTTTCTTTAATGCACACTTAAGTTACTTTCATATGTTAGCAACTATGAATAATGCTGAAATGAATATGAGATGCTGATGTACCTTTGAAATATTAATTTCAATTTCTCTGGATATATATCCAGAAGTGGGATTGTTAGATCATATAATTCTACATTTAATTTTGGGGGGAAGCTCCACATTATTTTCCAAAATGACTGTACTAATATACATCCCCATGAACAGTGTACAAGATTTCCCTTTTCTTCACATCCTCCCCACGAACACTTAATTATTACTCTTTTTAATAATGCCAAAATGAGACATCACCTCATACCTATTAGATTGGCTATTACCAAAATCACCGTCTTTTTGCTGCTGATTGCTTTATTTTTTTAAGTCTCTTGCCATTCTCCATAGACAGAATTAGCCTTTCTTTTGCTTATCCTTTCTTTTCAGGCATGTCTGTGCTTTTTTTGTATCACAGGGGAAATGATTACATCTATATATTATAGAAGCATTAAAGCATATCAATGCTACTGATTAGGAGGAATGAAAACAGATGAACAAACAATCCTCGTGTTCTTTGCATTACATGTGCTCTATGCTCCATTCCTTTGGAGAATCACGACATTTCCCAGGAAGCACATAGTGGGTTTAGGTCATGCTGGGTGCTTGTTCCTTTAGAAAATTTACTGAGTACTCTATTAAACCTCTGTTCTAAGCACTATTGTGTAATAGGGAATCATCAAGTCTCAGCTGTCACGTAGCATCCACTCTAGTGGAACAAGACAGAAAATGAACACATAAGCAACACATATAGCATGACACACAGTGCTTTGCAGAAAAGTAAAACACTTGCTAACTATGGCAAGATTCAAAGTGTGGTGTGGGAATGAATAGCTGAGGTGATGTGGAGAAAAAGACCATCTCCTAGGGAGGAAATCAGAAGTTAAGCTGTTGGATGTGCCCCCCATATGCCTGTTGTCCTCACATGGATAAGAAAGTTGTTAATGAAAGCAAGAGTTCGGATGCAAGGAAAGACTGCCAATTACAAAGTAAATTTTTAATATTTAATAGGTAGGAGTGTCCATAAAATTAGAGAATGATTGCTACCAGAAGATGAAAAGGAAGATATACCTATCTTCAAGGAAAGAGTTTTGATTTGTTTATGTTTGGGGACAATTATTTGCTTGTCTTTTTTATGGAGGTTTTGTCAACCCTGGATGTGACAATGTGGGCCATGAATAAAAACACCAGTTCCATTTGTGATCCTGACACTGACATCTTTGAGGTTAGAATCAACCGCCCCCATTTTAACAGGATAACAAGAGAGTGGTGCTCCCCAGGGGCGTATCTGGTTCAAGTGTGGGCGATAGAGCAGGTTTTTCTCTTGACTAGGCAGAGCATGTGGGTCTGAAGATTCCAATCCCTGAATACATACTTAGGAAACACGGCTTAGAACATCTGATTATAAGATGCTTAAGTGAAGTGTGTAAAATACATTTTCTCATTCATTCTCACTTCTCCTGCTGGGAGGCTGAGAGGGATGGGAGGTTCCTCAGCCCTTTCTTAGGAGCATAATACCTGCCAATTTGCTTTTCAGATCTAGCCTAGTAATGTTATGTAGAAGGGACAGCAGAATATTTGTTCCAGAACAACAACAACAAAAAGTCATTGTCCAACTCATAAGATAAATCTAATCCTGTTGGTTTCCTTCTCTGGGCCTCTTTTTATATTGTGAGTTTGCTCAGTGTTTGGGATCCATCACCTCCTCATTAACTTATAAAAAGCAATATTTCTTTTTTGCTCATTTCAAATGTTTAAGCTTTCAAATATTTGGTATTACTAAGTTTGTTAAGTAGATATTATGTTTGAATGCACTGAACGGCATATAGAATTTTACTGGTCAGAAAGGATACCCGGGTCTGTTGTGCCAAGAAAAGTTTGAAATTTGACTTGCACTGTCGCCGCCCAGGCTGGGAAGGAGAAGCTGGCATTCGATAAATTGTCTATTAAAAAGAAATCAAGTGGATGTTTGACCTTACAAAATACTTTTTGTTAATTGTTAGGTGTGACAATTGTGTTGGATTAAATTATTAAGAGGTTCTTATCTTTCAGAGATATTTGGTGATACACATACTTTTGGAGAAAACGGTGTGACGTCTGGACCAGGCAGGGTTACAGAATGCCGGTCCTAAGGGGTGGCGAAGTCCTCCGATTTCCCTGGGGGAAGTAAGACTCAACACCTCTTTCCTTCACCTCCAAAATGACACTTAGTGCCCCGGTTTTCTAAAATATACGTATTTTTCTTCTGTTCTCTGTGTTTCAAACCACCAGAGTCAGAAAAGATACCTCGAGCAAGAAGGCGGCCGCAGCTACAGCCGATTCCCTCCTGAACACACCTGCAGATAACAACATCACAAACTCTTACAGCTACACACCCGCAGACAACAACGTCACAGACTCTTACAGCTACACACCCGCAGACAACAACGTCACAAACTCTTACAGCTACACACCC